AGGCAATTGTTTAATTTGCTGTTCGTACCAATACTTGGGGCCGTATTGCTCTCTTACTAGAGCTGAGGTGGGGATTTCTTAGTATTATTTTACATCTCAGCCACCAGGCATACGAGTTCCGGCACTGCGGAATTCAGCTCCTGTCTGCGTGGCGATGAGGCCCAGCCCTAGCTGTTTACGCTGCCTATTACGCACTACCTATTTTATTGTAAACAGTGCGTCCATTCATTAGGGCTCGTTCACTAACACGGCATTAGCCTCCAAGCCTTCAAATAGGTGTTATTATTAGGGTCGCCGCCTCGCTGCGCTAAATGCTAGGGGTGGGGGTGACATGGAGCTTGGAGGTGTTCGCCTTACTTCCCCCCTTGGACGCCTTACAACAAGCCATATGATTTAAATTTCGCTGTGCAGATGAAGAGGGGTTGGTAGCAATGCAGGAGAAAGCCGTTTTACCGAAGCGTCAATCTCAATGGGCTTTTCAGCCTTAATGACGACTGGAGGTTGGGTGGGATTGCTTGGCGTGATGCATGTGCATTGAAGCACTTTGCTGTAGCTCTCGTCCAACCGATATATCCACACGCGCCTATGACAATGTAACAGTTGTTGGTTCGAAAGTGCATGAGCAATGGACCAGTGTGTGGCCATCCATGTACTGACACTTGGTAAGGAATGCACCCATAAGGCGCCAGCCTTACGTCCGATGGAGTGATCTCAGCTTCTGGAAATCGATATTACTCTTGGCTATCGAAGAGCTGTCATTCCTTTTTGGGGGTGGATTTGCCCAGACATTCCGCGATGTGCTGTTGAGTCCACAAACTGTCCTCGTGAGAGCCCAGCTGAGGTGGAGTTGGGCCTCAACTAGATCATAGCGTAATCAAACGTCATCTCTGTAGTTCCATGGGAGCGATAGGTCCGAAAGCTAGGCGATCATGCTGCCTAATGAGATAAGTGAACAAAGCTAGCTAGCAAGTATTGTTACCCAACCACATAGGTTTTTCTAGAAGGGCCTTCTAGAAGGAGCTTCTAGAACTTCTAGAACTTCCTTCGTGGTGAGTATTGTTATGCCTTCGATCCAAGAGAAACAGCCGATGTGGTGTCTAGTCCTTCAGATGCGATATGGATACAAGATATCAACGTGAATAGGGTACCTCGAAAGAACATATAGTCCTATCTATACTCCTTGCTTGGTGTCTTGTGGCTACTGTGCGGCCTCCGGTTAACCTAGAGGACGCGATGCTAGGGGACCACTGTGGCCAAACACAAGACCTTCCAATTGAAGCGAATTCCTACTATTGTAATGAAGAAGAACGTCTAGCTAGATGTGGGTTTTAATGGAATTATGCAACCAAAACAAACCCGGTGTTGTTATTTTCTTGTACTCCCTATAAATGTCGAGCGTGCAAATGAATTATGATTTGCATCTCCTTTTTTTCCAATCCCTCTCTATACTGCCTTCGATCAATATATTAAGAAATTTACTCATTGTATTACCCATAACATTATAAATACGCCTCAATCAATCCAACTGACACGGCTGCTCTCTTCGAAGCTACAATGATATTGGGAAGGATCAGCTTATTCCTTTTGAATAGAAGAGACGGTGTGGCATTTAACAAAGAATTTGGAACCGACCTCAATCTAATCACATTCGCATGCTCATAGGGAACGTTAGCTGAAGAGATTATAGAACATATAAAGGTCATCACCATTTCGTCCAGACACATTGAGAAAAGTAGCTCGGTGGAACTGTCACAACTCGGTATGTATCTCCAAACAATATATGAAAATAGAGTAGAGACAAGATTAGTGAATAGTTTGCGATAGGAATCTTCCCACCAGTCCGGCCTCTTCAGTTTCTCCTCAATCCCGCTAGGTCGGTAGGAGCCGTAGGGAGAGCACAGTCGTTGCGAGTTAATGCCTTACACCAGCTTATGATCAACATTGATATTGAAGCCCAACTAGGAAATATCTATTAATAAACTCGTCTAATTCACGCCACTTCTGATATACCCTTGTTGGAATAGCATCCATGCAAAAATCAACCAGTAAAGGATCATGCTGCGTTGGCAGTGCTACCCCGAGCAACCAAAACAATTCGATGCTATATGTCACATACTTATTGGCTCGAATTGCATAATAGCATGCCTAAAAATGGAGATTGTTGCCTGGCCTGACTTTTTGTCGTCGCCTCGCGGGAAATTGCTGCGACGCTGGCAATACGGAAAAGGCATCGAAATTCATGCCATTTGGTAGCTATTCGTATTAGTGAATTGTTTTTGGTTTTAGGACTTTTTATGGACATAAGAATAGGACAAAGCAAGGATAGGCGTTTTAATATATTGTCCGTCTCATAATTACAGGACCGCAAATCAAGGGGTGAGAAAGTCAAAGGAAAGCAAAATGATTTGAAGAGGCTATAGAGTTATATAAAAAAAGAAACCCAAATCGATCTAGATAAGCGAGAACTGTGTTCTTAAGACATTATCATGTTTCAGCTTATCTATACTTCAAACATGACTTGTGGCCTATCTGAGAATCGGCCGATAGACTTAACCAAAGTGTTCTAAACAATAAACGCAGATGTCAATGAATCTGATCTGATATGCTAGAACATTGCCCTGATTTGTCATTGGATAGCTCTCCAAGGCTGGTACGGTACTAGTGTGCTTTCTTGTTGCAAAGGATCAAACGGGAACTCTCCGTGGCGCTCCACGGAGGTGTCCGTGGAGCTCACCCAATCCCTGAGACTAATTATGGTCGCAACGCCTGGTAGCAAACTGTGCCATGGCACTTGGATTCGGACTCCGTATCTTAGAAAGATGTCTTAATAGCACCACAACAATCGCCACGGGGCACCGCGCATCCAAGCAGATGGAATCAAATCTTGGAAGTATTACAAATGAATATCTGAGGAAGAATCATAGCCCCGCCCATGGTCGAGGATAAATAGGAGAAGCAAGTAGATGGAATTTCGGTTTCAAACCATAGTGTCGAAATAAAATCTTGTCTAGAAATTCATTCCTACCTTGCAAAGCAAAAACGAAGTCTTCGCGATGGCAGTTCCACGATACAGTTCTGGCGACGTGAGCCCTGCGCCTCTGGGACGAAACCTTGAGTTCCCTGTATCCGGACGGATCGCAAAGAATCGCTTCCTCAAAAGTCCGATGGCTGAGATTCTCGCCACTTGGAGTCCCAGACATGTATATGAACGAGGTATTCCTACGGATGAGCTTGTCGAGCTGTATAGAAGGTTGGTGATACCCTCTTTTTTTGGTGTGCAAGTTGTTGATTGTCCAGACTAATGGCCATCCGTCTTTTGCAGATGGGGGGAAGGGAAAAATAATTGGGGTGTCATTGTTACCGGAAATATCGATACAAACTGGGCCATGGTCAATGGCCCAGGCGACATGATCATCACTCCGGATTGTCTCTTCGAGGGAGAGCGATTCGAAAAGTTCACTGAGCTTGCCGCGGCAGCAAAGGCCGACGGAAGTCTCATTGTCGCCCAGATCACTCACCCAGGGAGACAGGTCCAAGCAGCGGTGAGCCCGACGTCTCTCTCCGCATCTGATGTTCAACTTGGTAGGTGGCTGCTCAATACTTCACACAAGCCTGTTTAGCTAGTTCTAACTGCCAATCAACATAGAGCCAAAGAACGGCCAGACTTTTGGGAAGCCCCACGCTGCCACGCGAGCCGAGATGAAGAAGATTGTAGATGAGTTTGCATATGCGGCCGAGTACTTAGAAAAGGCTGGCTTCGACGGGATCGAGCTCCACGCGGCTCACGGATTCCTCATCGCTCAGTTCCTCTCCAGGACTACCAACAAACGCACAGACGAGTACGGCGTCCAGACCACGGAGAATCGCATGCGGTTCCTCTCGGATGTCGTGCGTGGCATCAAGGCCAGAGTCTCGCCCAAGTTCATTGTGTCCGCCAAACTGAACAGCGTGGAGTTCCAAGAAGGTGGCGTCACACCCGACGAGGCGCGTGAAGTGTGCGAAACTCTCGAGAAGCTTGGCCTCGATTTTGTAGAGCTCAGTGGCGGTACCTTCGAGGAATTGGGATTGAAGTTTGAGAGAGAGTCGACCAAGATACGGGAGGGATTCTTTCTGAGATTCGCCCAGGCCATCTCGCAGGCTCTGGGCCCGGACCGCAAGATGAAGCTGTATTTGACTGGCGGCATGCGATCAGTCGGCTCCATGGTCAGTGCACTCGACTCCGTTGACGGCATTGGGATGGGAACACCTGCAGCAGCTGAGCCTCGACTTGCGAGCGACATTGTGGAAGGGCGTGTTGGCGGAGCGCTCAAGCCACTCGCCGCTGGTGAGGAATTCCCCTTGAGTCTTATGGCTGCCGGGGCTCAGATCTGGCAGATTGCCAGAGGAAAGGAGCCATTCCAATTGTGGGATGAAAAGGTGCTTGCACAACTGGAGCAGGACATTGGAACATGGCTTGGGGAGAAGACGGAGGATGGAGACAAGCTTGAGCATACGAAGCCCGTTGAGTACACTGGGACACAGAGCGAGTACGGGTCCAGCGCGGCGGTGGTTGCATAGATTGAAGGGCCATTAGACTTGCTATGTATCGAATTTCATAGATTTATTTTATACAAATAGAAGTAAGGGGCATTTTTGGTCGGTGCGCTTGTTGGCCTGAGATGGTGGTCGAGGTCATGGTGGATTTGTCATCCATCATCAATCTGACCGACAGCCGATGGACCAGACCCTGCCTTCTTTTCCACTCCTGATTCATCCCCTTCAAAGCTCCCATGTCGCATTGAAGACGGCTATACAGCTAGACAGATCGCAGCGTAATTGTCGGAGCACACCTGTCCGTCATGTCCTCCGAGAACTCCACTTCACCTGGTGAACCGCAGCCGGCGGCGGGTGCCAGAAAGGGTATGTTATGTTCACACAGGAGTTGTCTTCCTCATCGAATTGCTCTCTGACGAATGGATTAAGCTTGCGACTTGTGTTTTCGAAAGAAAATCAAATGCGACATGTTGAAGCCAACATGCTCTAACTGCTCTCTTTATAATGCTGAGTGTCGGACAAGCCTCATCCGCCAGAAGCCCGGGGGCCGTGCAAGACGAAGAGTAGGAGCACAGGAAGCTCCCGAAGAGGCTTCTGAGGACACCGAGGGCATCAAGGCTCGTCTAGAGCGTATAGAGAAGCTTCTGAAGGAGGCTTCTCAACAGAAAGCGCCCAACACCTCTGCTAATTCCGAATCTCCCCACTTTGAGGTGGACAGCCGGAGCATGGATTTCAGCGGCACTGACGACCAGATACACAACTCTACTGCTCCAACATGGGGATTTGATGCTGTGAGGCCATCTATATACTTCGGTCCAGGAGCAGCAGGAACCCCACTGCCACCACTCTACGTACGTGGTCTTGAACTCAGCCAACCTGATCCCAGGCGCAACTCAGACATGCCCATCCTAGTGTCTAACAGAACAACAGGATATTATGCCACTTATCGATTTATATTTCGATAACTTTAACCAGGTATCGCCTATTTTTGATCGGAAGTCCTTTACTCGTATGGTCATCGAGTGGTATAACCAACGAGCAACTCATAGCCGGGTTGCTTGGGCTGCAATTCTTGCAGTCAGTTCTCTCGGCTTGCGCGCTTCGCCTTCTGATAATTCATTGTTCAAGGGGCCATTCACCAACAAAGAATGCAGTGACTATTGTTTGAGAAACGCCCAGTCGGTTATCCCGGAATTGTTGATTAGAGAGGAGGATTTGCTGGGCGTCCAGACCTTGCTCGTCCTGGCCACTCTGTTCCATCAAGCCTGTGACCAAAGAGCAGCAGGTAATCTGGCGAGCATGGCCCTCAGGCTTGCACATAGGATGCGCCTTCACTCCAAGCAGTCCACGGAATTCTTCTCTCCCGAGGAAATACAGCAAAGATCAAACGTATTCTGGGTCGCATACATTCTGGACAAGGTGAGTGGTGCTACTCTGCATGGTTTGAAATCTCGCTCACACTCTCTACCAGGATATTTCCATGAGGATGCAAATGCCATCTGTGCAAGTTGATCAGGACATTGATGTCTCCCTTCCGCCCATGAACCCGATTGGAGTCGATAATGATGCTGGTCTTATCTGGACGCGTGACCGTACTACTCCTTTCAATCTTTTCCGCATGCGTCTTGACCTCGCCCATATTCAGGGCAAACTCTATGATCTTATCTACTCCAATCGCTCTCTCAAGATCAACGCCATTGAACGTCATGCTCGGGTTGAAAGTTTACAAAAGCTGCTGACAGCTTGGATGGCAAGGATCCCGGCAGCATTTCACATCGAGCACGTGGCCGCAACTGTAGGTGAAATAGAAGTGACGCACATGGTCAAGTTTTACCACTCCTATCTCACCACCATCACCTTTCTTCATGGGATCTATAGCCAGCAGGCGGAGTGGGTGAAGCGCGTGGGCCCTCAGGCCAGGTACGCGATCCAAGATTATACTCTGGCCATGTCAGGGCATGCTGCCGATTGCCTCTCAGAATACCTAGACCCGCCGGCAGAGAAATACTGGTATCATTGCGTCGACATCAGCCGCTTCGCCTTGAAGCTATTCCAGGAAGTAGAGCAAACAGACTGGCTGGTGTGGTAAGTACCAAATGCCCAATTGAAACTTCCCTCATGAAATGCCACTGACTCGGAATTCAAGGCAATGCACTTGCGCTCATTTTTCAGGACTCGTCATTCTTCTATCAAACACCATCATGTACCCAACACATGAATTTGCTTCGCTTGACAGCGAGATTTCAACAGTGTCGGTTCAGCTCCTAGACAAAATCGTGGCTGAGTCTAATCACGGAGAGATATTCGCATCTCTCCAACACGTTGTGGCTGATCTATCCAAGCATGCGAAAGCCGCGGTATCATCTGCTCGGCTTCAACAAACAGCGCCGGATTCCGAAGGCGTGTTTGGCCAGAGCTTTCAAGAAGATGACTGGTTTCCCGGGCAATCAGCGCTCTCCACTTTTGGCAACGGGGATCAAGCAGATTTGACGGGCACCTTCAACATGAATACTGAGATAGACCCTTTCTTGCATGCCGAATGCGACCAAGGCAGTGCCCGGGTCAATCTTGAGACCATACTGTAACTGCCGGGCAGAATGCCGGGCCTGGCTGACTTTACTCCGCCCCGAGGCATTCAGGGGCCTGCCTCAGTTTCACATCCCAGCCAAATCACCCGAGCAGAGCAGTATGACGGTGTAGTAATGCCCATCAATTCTCCCGTCACGGCATCTTTACCCCGCACACACATCACTACTCCACAGGTTTACCCCCGGGACATGTAGCGTCTGGTCGGAGCCTCTCTCTTTTGGGATACGGCCCACCTCGTAAACCTGATCGCCTCGTTTCCGCACGACTCAAATTGAAGATTGGCATATTGCCTAATGGCTAGGTCCTTGGCCGGGCTGCCATTGTCCCGAGGGGACCACTGGTCCTAAATAGGAAGCTCGTTTGTCGTCCGCGACCGCTCGTTGGGCAATATCAACTCGCCTACCCACGAGGGTGAGGACATCCCGCATGAATCTTGGCCAGATTTTCAACAAAGAACTACCCGTAATTGGGTCAAAGCCGAGAACATGTTGAAAGCTATTCTTTTTTCAATCCTCCTGGCCTCCTACGGTCTGGCCGTTAAGATCGTTTCAACAAACCATTGGGATATCGGCACTGATATCCAAGGATCTGAACGTCTCAATGGCGTAAGCTATCAGGAGGACGTTCTCATCACATTTGGCCAGCATCAATATGTTACATTCTACGAGACAGCCCCGGCGGGGTACGGTAATCATTATGTGAGGGTTGGTCGCCGCCGCGTGCTCCCATCTGTCGGGGCCTGGGAATTTTTGACTCTCACCGATTACCTCCAAACGACTCTGGACGGGCATAATATGATCTCTATGGGGATTTCTGGCGATGGTCGAATTCATCTGAGCTTTGATCACCATGTACGTGCGCCAAACAGGAAGGAAGTGGGCTTCAATCTAACAGAAGTAATTTCGATAGGATGTCCCGCTAAATTATCGAGTTTCCAATGATCCTATTGCAATTAACATCCCATCAACCTGGAGCGCCAGTCTATTTGGCAGTGTAGTTCACCAGCTCCCCGGATCGTCGGGACCCTGGACACCGCTCACCTATCCGCGGTTCCAGAATCTGGACAACGGTGATCTTCTACTAGAATTCAGAATTGGCCAGTGAGTTTCCTACTTGACAATTATCCTCCTCGATGTTTGAAGACGGACGTGGTGAGGACATGTTACTGAGCTCATGCTGATTCTCGGAATGATTTAAAGATCCGGATCTGGAGATAGCTACATTCACAGATATTCCAGCACCTCCCGCACGTGGCAGGCATACGGTAAATATCTCCAGGGCAATGACAACAATGCGTACATCAACGGCCTCGATGTACTTAACGGACGGCTTTATACCTCATGGACAGTGCGAGAGACACCAGATGCAAACACAAACCATGATTTGTTTTTCGCATATTCTGACGACAGTGGCCAGAGTTGGCGCAACACGAAGGGCGCAGCGCTACCTAAACCAATCCCTGTGGACCAAGATGTTGTCAAGGTTTGGAGCATTGCTCAGAATACTGGTATGGTCAACCAGGAAGGGCAGCTTATTGACTCCAAGGGAAGGTTCCACGCACTCATGAGGGGCAATTCTTCCGGGCAGCGGGTTTATGAGCATTATCTAAGAAGCACCGATGGTAAGCCAATTCCTTTTCATTAGTTTATTTCCAAGAACAGTAATGGCTGACCGACTTCTGTTTCATCAGGAACCTGGGTGAGGAATCTCATCAACCCTGGTGATATATCTCCTCCGGATCTGTATGCACCTCGTGGTAAATTTGCTGCGGATGCCGATTCTCGTTATCTATTCGCTCTGCTGCCCGATTTGCCGGCTCTGCAACTCCGTATCTATGTGTCGACCAGTGATGGGCAATTCAAAGACTGGAAACTACTTACTGTCGTTTCTAACGCTTCCTCTGAGCCGCTTTTTGATCAGAAGAGACTGAAAGATCAAGGGATTCTCAGTGTCTTTGTCAGACAAGGGGGCCCATTTCCCGATCGGAAGGTGCAGGTTTGGGATTTCCAACTGGAGTTGTAGAGCATGAAAACTCTTCTGTTTGATTCCAAAATTCTATCCTTGTTATCCTTGTTGGGCGTCTTTCCCCTACATGCTTCTTAAAATACGTTAAGTTGACTCGAAAATTTACGTGTTTCAATCTGGAATATGATTCATGTCCGTTGACCCGCTATGATACATTGCGTTCATCAAGTGAAATAAATCAGGTAGCTCAATACTCAAGAGCCAGGATCCCTGGAATCCTTTAGTGGTTAAGATAATACACATTTAAATTTCCTATTTCAGAGATAGAAACGTAACATCGGTGCCAGGGATGTGGTGATCGACGTCATTAACATGCAGTATAACCAACGTGACTATCCTTCTCCACAACTATATGAACCCGACAGCGGGGGAAGGAAGCATTGAGATTAATGATATTCACTCATTTATGGTTAGAGAGAAGTAGATTCGGGTCATTGTATCACCGTAGTTGTTGGCACATAAAGGCAGGCCATTCCCCAGAACTTTTAGGATCTTTTACAGTGCAAGCACGCCTCAACAGTTTTCGTCTTCGAAACAGTTTCATTGAAACCTAGAACGTTCCAATGCTCAAAAACATGGGCGTTCGAATTTCTCTTTGCCTTTCGCTGCTGGCTATTCTTAGTAGAATAGCTGCAGCTGAAGTTGACATTCTTGACTACATTGACCCTCTAATCGGAACTTCAGATGGCGGTTCGTGATTTTGAGGTCTATAATTGATATAAAACGGTGCTGACAATTCTGATAGGCCATGTGTTTCCTGGTGCCAGTTTACCATTCGGAATGGCTAAAGCTGTGGCCGACGTTGATAAAGAGACTCAAGGCGGTTTTGCCTCCAACGATGGGCTGAGTACGTTGATTTGCCAAATACACCAGTTCTTCACACCCTCCAAATCTAACCTAATATTCAAGTTACTGGCTTTTCCCATATGCATGATAGTGGGACCGGTGGCGTATGTAAACCAGCTGACTACATATGGTAGTTCATTTAACTAATCAGAGAGAATGTTTATAGGGCTCCTCCCTGGGGAATTTCCCTTTGTTCCCACAGACCCACTGTCCAGACGATGATTTGAATCAATGCGAGTTCCCCAAGAAGCTACGCGCTGTAGAACGAATAAATGGGACGGTGAAAGCTCGTCCGGGCTATTTTGCTGTCACTCTCAACACATCCATCGTCGCGGAAATGACCGTTAGCAACCATACTGCCCTCTACAGATTCAATTTCCCGAGTAACAAAAGTGTTTCGAGTTCTGGAAACAACTCATCACCTTCTTCATACAGCCCGTTAATCCTAGCTGACCTGACTGATCTGGCAAACTCCAGGACTGATGGCAGTATTCAGGTAGATGCTGAAACAGGGCGTATCACAGGTAACGGAACTTTCACTCCGTCTTTCGGCATAGGAACCTATACTCTGCACTTTTGTGCCGACTTCAAAGGAGCCGATATCCGTAACACTGGTGTTTTCATCAACAACCGGGCAGGCAATGGGACCAAGAGCCTTAAAGTCTACAAGGACGGGAACAATAATCCCCCGTTGCCAGCAGGTGCCTGGGTGCGCTTCAAGCAGCCGGAATCAAACCAAGTGCTGGCTCGAGTAGGGCTTTCATTCTTCAGCACGAGCCAGGCTTGTAGGAATGCTGAGAGAGAGATCCAAGATTTCGATTTTGAGGGCACCAAAGAAAGTGCAGAGGATGCCTGGCGAGCCAAGCTGGCGCCAATATCAGTAGACGATACCGGGCTGGATAAATCGATCAAAAGGATCTTCTGGAGCGGTCTATACCGCTCTTTCCTGTCCCCTCAAGACTACACTGGTGAGTTCGAAGGCCCTTGATAAAATTGAACCAAGTCTAACCACCAAGGGATACAGGAGAAAACCCATTGTGGCAGAGTGACGAGCCATATTTTGACTCGTATTATTGTATTTGGGATAGTTTTAGAAGCACACACCCACTTCTGACCCTTGTTGATCCCCACGCACAAAGTCTCATGGTTCGCAGCTTGATCGACATTTATCGTCACGAAGGCAAACTCCCTGACTGTCGGATGTCACTCTGCCAAGGTTTTACCCAAGGCGGGAGTAATGCCGATAACCTCCTTGCTGATTCATACCTAAAGGGTCTTAGGGATGGGATTGATTGGGAAACAGGTTACGAAGCCGTGATATCGGATGCTGAGGGTGAGTGAGCACTCCATATAGGGTAAGGGAATCCGAAACTATTCACCGAGCTAACATATCTTCCAGAGCAATCAGAGATATGGACTGTTCAAGGACGTGGAGGGCTTGATAGCTGGAAGACTCTCGGGTACATTCCAACCGATGATTTTGATCCCCATGGTGTTGGCCTGTTCACACGTTCGATCTCTCGCACAATCGAGTACTCATACAACGACTTTTGTATTGCTGAAATGGCACGAGAGATGAATAAAACAGATGACGCCGAAAAGTATCTCGAAAGATCAGGAAACTGGGTCAATATGTTTGATCCTGAGTCCCGATCTTTGCTCAATCTAACAGGTAGTCATGACCCAGCAGCTCTCGTCGACAGCGGCTTCCAGGGGTTTCTCCAACCAAGATATGCCAATGGGACATTCGGCTACCAGGACCCATCTATTTGCACCTTTCTCTTCAACTTCACTTCATGCTATCTCAACGCGAACGGTCATGAGACTTATGAAGGCGGTGCATGGCTGTACACGTTCTACGTCCCGCATAATCAAGCGGGCTTGATCCCTATGCTCGGTGGACCGGAGGAGTTCACTCGTCGACTACAGTATCTCCATGATACCCCGGGTCTCCTTTACGTTGGAAACGAGCAGTCCTACCTGCTCTTCTTCCTGTTCCATTTTACAGGCCGGCCAGGGCTGTCTGCGGAAACGGCACACAAGTACATACCGAGCAGCTTCAACGACACCACCAGCGGTATCCCTGGAAACGATGACTCAGGAGCCATGGGTAGTTTTACTGCTCTTACGATGATGGGACTGTACCCAATGAGTGGACAAGATGTCTACCTCATCATTCCGCCTTTCTTTGCCGAAGTCAACCTCACGAATCCTCAGTCAGGCAAGACAGCCACTATACGCTCTATAGGATTCGACGCATCATATGTCAACATATATATTCAGAGCGCTACACTGAATGGGGAACCGTACACCAAATCCTGGATCACGCACAGTTTCTTTGTGGAGGGCGGTGTCCTGGAGCTGACGGTTGGGTCTCATGAGAGCTTGACTTGGGGTGTAGGAGAAGATAACGTTCCTCCAAGCGCATCTACTCACTTTTGGGGGAAGACGTGATTGAACTATGCAATTTGAATTAAACTCTATGGTCCAGAGAAGTAGATGGGTCATTGATCAAGTTGCGTGTCGTTTTAGTACGCAATCTCGAAAGAGCTAGGAACGACAAGCATCAATACCGAGATGGACTTGGACCAGAATATGAAACCAAGCCGGTTTTAACCTCTGACTTGAAATTGAAACAAACAAGTAAGGACTCATTACTCTTTCCTTAGTTCGTGGCTTAGTAAAAGAGAAGAAATTCTATACACCAGTGGCAGGAGTTAGACATATCAATCCAAGGTTGTTGAGAACGACAGTGTGCTCCTACTACTGTTAGTGAGTTCGACTGAAGAAAAAGTTGCATAACTTACCAGTCTTGAATATAATCCCACAATCTCACCATTTTCCGGCCAGATTGTAAAAGTTCTACTTCCAGTCGATCACTACTCAAGTGTGCTGTGTAACCAGGAGGAAGTTCGACTGATCGTCCCCAAGTAGTATAAAATCATGCACATCGATTCAGATCCCAGACGGCGTACAGAGAAGCAAACGAGAAGTTACTGCGGAAGAGAGAATTTGATCAACTCTGTTTCGAGATACTCCGATATCGTCAATGCGTTCGCCCTCACTGGATGATATTTCTGGGTATGGCTTTGACGGCCACGAGAATTCAAAGGTGGCAACAATCCCAACAAAAATGGTTTCTATTCGCCCCGCGAGGCTACATACTAAAATTTCAATGCATGAATACCTACATAGTGCACGCTCGCACCGAGGTGCAATGCATCAACTTCCATGTAATGATGCTGGTCAAGTGTGACAAGAGTTTGCCGTGAACGCCTCCAATGAGACAGTAACATGAAGGTAAACATGCCATTAAGCCATCAGGTCTACGAAGTGTGTAACCAGATAAGGTCCTGGGATTTGGTGGTAGCACTTCGGGGTACCAGAGAGGTAAAGATCCAATGACCCGTCAAGAGGGATCACATCATGGAACTGGCGACGTTCCGCGACACCTGAGAGACACACATCGTGCCATGGCTCTCGAATCACGTGTACTTAACTCTCATAGGCGAAAGGAATTGATCCAATTGGCGCCTTTTCTGAGGTTGGTGGTCCTGGAATGTTTGTCCATGAAAGAAGCAGACCTGACATTTTTATTGAATGTCGCCTTGGTAACGGCACACCTAAGGGGAAGACTCAGCAAACAATAAGCATCCCGTTTATTTATTCACAATTAATCTATCCAGAATTCTCAGACCACACGAGTGCTGCCAATTGCGCCGATAACAGTCTATATTGATGAATTGTTTCCTCTCAGACACGATCCAGAACCAAGGCCATGATCATGCCGTTTCTACCCTTGAACTTCTCCGGCAGCAAGCCAGGCGGAAGCAGATCAGCGTCGCCATTCGCTCGCAAAGCCTCCTCCAAAGTACACTTTCCAGCGTCCACAAACCCCATGGATCGATACAGGCCCAGCGTGACATGATTGTCCGGCTTGACCATGATGCGGACGCGTACCTGCTTGGGGACACCTTGACCGTGGTACTCTCTGCGAAATGACGCGAGATACTGGAACGCCTCTTTGCAGAGCCTTTTCCCGAGTCCCTTCCCGCGATGTTGGGGCAACGTGTACAGGCTCAGCATCTGCCACTTCTCCTCATCTCTATCGCTGGCCACCTCGGGCTGGGACGCCTCGCTGGGGAGGGCATAGTCATCCGCCGAGACTGGGCCCAGGAGCGTGACCTGTGCGACCCATTCACACTTCTCCAAGGGCACGGTGCTGAGGTCAACTGATCCAGAGGGCTCCCCGTCGACCGCCGCGCAGATAAAGGTCTCCTTGTTTAGCGTATTGATGCGGGACAGCCAGACTTCGTCAGAGAACTGGGCCTCGGTCTCATAGGTGGAAGAGAAAGAGGCGGGTGAATTCTGGAGCGCCGCTAGACGAAGCTCCTTGTACTTGGCCGCCAATGAGGGGAGTTTAGGCGCATCCTTATCGATCCTGAAAAACGTGTATGCCATTCTCGAAGTCGTTTACTGGGTTTGACGAAATAGATGTGCTCTGGTCTCACGGTCGCGGCCAAAAAGTCGGTGGGACAGCGGCAAATCTTGTCCTCCCAGTTCTGCAGAATGAAGGAGCCAACCGAACCAGCGCAATCAACCCATGACTGATGATATCTTATAAATGTTGGACAATTTTTGGCGTCGGACTATTTATATAATGCTCCGCCAGTCGCTAACCCCTGATGACAAACGCTCGCAATCCTTTATTTAGTGCATCTCGTATCGTAGATGCAGGTGGATTTTGGATTGATGAGCTAGACATCTTCGCGTATGGACTCAATTGAAAGATTAGGCAAGACAAATCTCCACATACGAAAGGAAATCTATCATAGTGATCGACTCATCCAATCAAGTGCCATCGCTCACATATTGAGCACCTACATCCATGAGGACAGTTTGTCGTTCAAGACTCAGAAAGAGCATGAAGACAGCTCACCCAGGCGGCAATTTCATTTCATACACATGCAGCAAGAAAAATAAATGACCATCAAACATCATAATCACGAGACAAAGAGAAGCCACTTTAGAAAACAGATGTCAAAGTCATAACATTCATATGAGATCAAGACAAGCAGGCACACACATAGACAAGCACTCAATCTCGCTCCCCTCACTTGCAAATATTTCTAGCCTTAATTGAGCTATCCAGGTCAAGACTTCGCAGAATGTATCTTGTAAGTCTTCAGAAACAGCGTATCGTCCCCACGCCGTCTTAGGGCTACGACATCAGTCACAACTTATGATCAGTCATGTCGATCAAGAGCGTTGAGGCGATAATGAAAGTGGATCGATGGGTCGTATTGGGGTCGACGTGTGAAGTTGCCACGGAAGACGAAGCATTGGCGTGTTGACGAAATAATTTGGATCAGTGCAGTGACTTGTCGGCTTTGTATATAACCAGGTAGTTGGTGATTTGCGCTGGTTAGTGTGTTTGATCCCGGATCCGACTGCTCGCATTCATGGAGGGTCTTCGCTACAGGATGCTCATCTAAGGAATCTCTGAGCTGCGAAATTAGCAGACCATGTCTTTTCCAATTGCCCTACAACCAGTCTCCTCGCGCAGTTCTCGCTTAAACGGTTCGGTCCCTCATGATCTTCAAGATTGAGGGCATTGTTTCCAGTAGGGCCGTCTTTCAGACTCAAAGTCGACTGCATCCGCCGGCGTAGGGTTTATCTGGCACCTTCTCAGCCAGCGGGGATAGTAAGTGGGCATAGCTCATAAGCTTGAAGAAATATTCTCTGCCATTCAGTGATGCGCTGAATCTCATTTCATCCAATTCGATGGTGAATGATTCAATCCAAGATAAAATTGGCAGAAAACAGTCTGTGCCGCGATCGAGTTTGCGCCTCACTATTGTTAGCGATGCCGTCTCAGAATGGCGAGAGACTGGTACTGAAAATACCAATCTTCCCGTTTACCTTTTCAAGACGACAGAGGAGGCGGCCATCAAGGCAACTGAGCCAATCTCGTGTAACATGAATGTTACACAGAGTTTTTGGCCCTCAGCAGCTGTGCGCCTGGCGGCCCAAGTATGGGGAGGCTGCTTGGCCTGCATTCATTCGTTGCCTGCAGGAGAGCGGCGGTGCTCTCTAAAACAGTTTCCGAGACCGCTGAGCTTCCCAACTTGACATGAGAAGCCGATAGAAATGAGCGCATGCTCTCGTAGACTTGTCTGTGTCAATCAGACAATCAAGAAATTCATCTTTGGGTCTTTCAAGACCTGAATCCAGTTCTTCCCTTGATGCTCTGATTCCTCCAGGCCCCATATGATAGAAAGCGTCTCCATGCAGGTGTTCATAAACCCCCAAGGGGTAGTGACCAACAATTTTTGAAATCTGTCAATGATCCAGGCCCGACGCTGGGGATCCTTTGCCCCTGCACCAGCGACAAATGTTGGCCAAGATGTCGCCTTGAAATTTGGGTCTTCGGGCGGTATCCTTTCCAAGTAGTAAAACATCTCCAGATACACAGCATCGACGATATCTTCGCTCAAGCTGTTGGCGATGGGCTCAATGGCCTGCATGATATACACCGAGGCGGCAAGGCGATGCACTGTAGCTACATTGACCCGGCTCTCCAGCACCTTTTCCAGGTAATAGTTGTTTTTGAGCACTTCGACAGCCCATGCCCGAACATTGAAGTTTTGAGCGCGGTGGAGTAGCGTAAAGCCTTCTGATGCGATCTTTGTAGCGGTCTCGGCATCTTCGGTTACGACATTGGACAGTTGAGAGGCAGCGTAAAGGATCTCCAAGACCTCCGGCGGGCAGCAGAGATAGCTACTTGCCGTGGTCTTCTCCAAGATGGTCGGTATATTAGCTGAGTCGAAATATGTCTGCAATGAAGATACCTCAGGGGTGAATGCGGATGACAGCACGAAGTAACTTGGAAATGCACTGGTTAGCACTGCTGTTAGACCGGCGAGGGTGGAGAGAAAATCACCAAAAGCAATCGGATAGTAACGAATCTCGTAATTCACGCAATGGAGGGTCAATTGTTTGCATGATAGACATCAGTCGGCCGGCACCCTCCAAATGGGCCCTCCACCCATTCTTCCCTGATTCCAGCAATTCGACATAAATGAAAAACAAAGCAGCGGCAAAGATAATATCGACAGGAACGGAGCCAACATTAGCGACAGCTTCGTGCATCAGCCGTAGCGCTTTGAGTTTAGCGACAAGTGCTTCTTGGAGGGCCTGCTGCGAGGCCTCGCCACGCTGGTAGATGACTTTTCCATCAGATTGGACAAATGGTGGCTGAGCCGAGCGCACAAGATTCGATTTATGCGCCGCGGAGGAAGCGACGATGATGTGGTGCAGCAGAGGATGCGACCTGGTCATTGGCACAAGCTTGTGAAAGGGGTTGCAATTATCTGGCAAATCATGAGAGACAAGATCGCGACACAGGCGTGTCGTAACTATATGATGCCGTTGTCAGTAACTTGGAGGAAGTCCGCTGGGAGGTCAGCAACTTACAATATGAAATGTAGTATCGATCAGTCTGAGACAAGTCTTGAAAGACAGGGTCAGCCAGGACCCAGGGTTTGTCGTACAGTGCGTCTGAGACACGGTCCTGAGCAACAAGCTGCATATCGGAGGCCTTGGTCTCATTTCTTGAAGCAGTGGCATCTATGACCTCCGAAGCTTCATCCTCTGGAGAATCTTCATCCTCATCTCCTCCCAACTTCTGGCCTGAGGGCAAGGACACATCAGCGCTGGATGTTTTGCCTGCCAACTTACCACGGGACGCCACCGCCCCGGTCCATCGGAGCAGCTGGCCATACCCAAGACATTCCTTGCCTGAGAGAACGCACTTGTTACACTGCGGATAAGACCGGTCACACCGGAGGCGCTGCCGGCGACAGTTGTGACACTTCTTGGGCGCCTGAGGTTGTCCCGCCATGGAGAGACAGAGCCTGTTGGTCTGGATATAATACTAAGCAGGCGTTGGCATAAGAGCTATCGGGCTATGATGCGATCTCCTTTTCGATGGATGCAGCAGAGCGGCAGAATCACCAAGTCGCGTATTCTGATCGCTTCAACTGAGGTCAATTGCTGCATGCACGAATCAAGGGTAAGCAGGTGACTAGTCCCCTTTTGGCTTGTGGTGATGAAGATTGCTGCTGATCTTGATAATCCGGCAAAATGGTATTTCCGGTTCCGATAGTCGACCAGCATCAATCATCACCGTCAGCCTCATTCGTGAGATATTCTATGCTATCTTGAGACGCAGTAATGATGCAGTCACAAGAATGTTCTAGGATGGCCTCGTGGTTATACGCAAGTTGTTTTGATTCTGAGTCAGATTGTCCACCATAACGCCAATGTCTCGCTATTTCTTACCATCAGGATAATGACGAGTGAGCTTGGAACCCTATGAGCGAGGTTCTCTCCGTGGAACCTACCCATCGTCTTCTTCTTATTGTTGCCACGTTGCGACCACCATCCCAATCTTCCTTCTGTCCAAGTTTATACGCGTATATTTCTCTATAGGGAGACTGATGGCCATTCTCAACTCTAGCCTGAAACCTCGCGGAAACCACTGTCGCCGTGGCTATGGCTCGCTTACAGTTCGGCTGCCTCCTTTGGCGCCTAGAAAAGACTCTTTCTGAAGTCAAAGACGCCCGGGAGTGGCAAAAGAACTCTCGTGAGACGTGTCTTCTTGGCGGGTTTTGACTTCCAAGCAATCACACATCACGAGCTGCCAGGGAAAGCTTAATCTACACCTTCAATTTCGTGAACACGAACGGGGTAGAACAGAGGTGTCCCCCATGACGGCCACCATGATTGATTCCCTGAATTGTAGCAACATCAAAAGCGGACCAGACCCAGGAGATCCATCGTGCAATTGATGTCAACCGCGCACAATGTTCAAGTACGTGTCGCACCCTGCCCGTCACTTACAGGTTGTGAGAGCTGATTCCGATTACAGGCATTCTCACATACGTCGTATGCTTCGCCTAGGCGGCCCGTCGTCGCCTCCGGAATTTTCCAAGCTCCATAGGCGTGCAATTGTCGATAGTGTCATTGAGTCTGACGTGCAGGGACGAGAATGCTTCGCTCACCTTCTTCTGTTCGAAAAGTTCGCCTTTGCCAAGCAGAAAGTCACACATTGGGCCAAGGACTATGATATCAGCCCCGAATCAGCATGGACCTGCTACATCAACTTGGCTGTGTCGAGGTTCTGCACATGGTTTGGCAAGATTAACCGTTCAAATCCTTGGTGCCGAGTGCCTCCTCTGGATGTCCTGATGATATGGCACGCTCTTATGCAGGAGCCAAGCAAGTGGAGCGAGTTCGAGGAAATCTCAGAATGCCCGGTTTCCAAATGGGACTGGAATACACTTGTCAGTCAGCCCAATTTCAGTAGAGTAGCATACAAGCTGACTTGTCACTGGAACAGCTTCCGATCCTCATGCACTCGGAGGGTGCAAATTTCGACCTGCCAAGGGACAGTCACGACTGGGCAGCGATGCTATATCCGACACCCAACACCGACCTGACGAAAATCATGGATATGAGCATCCCCTTCATGCAGTCGAGGAGCCCCGACGAATCAACAGAGTTTCTGGCATCTCAGTTCATCAACAAGCCAGCCACCATGAAAGTCAGCGCCCCTTCGGGCTGCTCATTTTACTTATCGGTGGATATTCATTCGCTCGTCGAGCGCCAGTCGGACTTCGCAGCTCACATGCTTCGATACGCCTGGCACCGCCTGCCAACAGATGCAGGTCCTAACATGCCCCAAATGGCACGGCCGATTAAGCGCTACGCTCGGTTCATTGCCCTCGTACGGCATGGGGCGGACATATCCAGTCTCAAGGTCTTCTCAGACGGCCTAAAGGCCCGCCTAATGCCAACACCTGACATTGAGCTAGTCTGGAGGACACACAGGCTCTCGCGGGCCAGGTACCACAGGTACTGTGACACCGAGGGCGATTGGGTTCACAATCTGGGTGTGATCAATGCACAGCATGTGCCAGATGGCGACGACCTGCAGGCGTCATCTCAAGTATACGAGCACATCTTCAGAGAGGAGTATGCAAGGTGCCACTGCTGGTACTGCATGGCAGAACATGAGTCGCCACATTTCTTCTGCAGCGTGGAGCAGACCTTAACAGACAAGTTATCGGCCGAGACTAGACGCCGTCGCAGCCTGCGTCTCGAAATACCCCTCGACCTTGCTCGCCTCCAGTGCCGCAGGTGTGGCCTGCACCCGGCCAGAGCCTGCAGGGCCAGGGATTTCATGAAGAAGCCCAGCACCAAACAGGAGGAAACCACATCACCGGGCGCTTCTGCCGCCTCGAGCACCACAGCGACCCAGAAGTCGCCTACCGTGCGTGGACTGCCCATCACCCACTTGGTACCAGCGACGTGGTCTGAGCCTGCTCCTGCTCCTCTCCCATCTCCACACCCCAGCGGCCACTTTCAAGATGGCCATGTACCTAGCCGCTACAGGACACCACCTCCGCGTCACCAATACCGGAGGATGAGTGGAGGGATGCCACCAACACCCGACGAGTCGCAGGAGGAGGGAGAGGATGCGTCCCTCGACAGGAACGGGCGCCATCGTGCCAAGTCGATAGGAAAGCAGCGCATGGCATGCCGTGCTACCTCTAATCGGCCCTGCGTCTCGAGCTGCGATGACGACAACTCGCTCGACGACGCCAGACGTGTCGATAAGATCGGCACCCGGCCGCCACGGGACAGCAGCAGCTTCGCAACGACAACGACGCCCAGCACCAACTCCCAGTGTTCTTCCGGCCCGCTTCGGGAGGCTGGTGATGCAGCCTGGTGGCGCTTCGGCGGAGCACTCCCTATCATGTCGGGAGCGCCCAATTCTGCTAAGCCTGTCGACCATGGCATCTATTGTGACAAGCCACTCAATAGGTCAACGAGCGCAGGCAATGGGGAGGGCCCCAGTTCGCTGCACCCATCCATGTCTTCGGAGTAGTATCTTGGGTGAGTGATCAAATGGCAGATTCCGGCCGGTGAGCAGAGACCCAGTTTCCCACCTCCTGCTTCCCCTCTTCTGTTCCGGATGCAGAAGCTGACTTCATTTTTTTTCGTGCCTATAGTATTTTCAAAATATTAGCTTGAGGCTATATTATCTGTTGCATGGGTGGTTTTTTTTTTTTTCCTTCGAGAATACCTGCTTTCTCTGGCCCGTTTAATTTTAACCTTCTTCTATCTACCAAGGTTACACTTTCTGCCAATATAAGCCCCTTTCTGCATATGGTGGTGGGTCGGGATGGCCCCTTTTTGGTGGTTAAATACGAGAAGAGGTAATAGTTCAGGACAATAATACACCATACCTCTGCCAAGGTTTCGACTACGGATACCTGAAGCGTGTAGAAGACTCAATGCTACGCTGACCCTATGTGCTACGTACTGTCCTTTCAAAAAAATCTAGCCTGCCATGCCCCGGCGATCCCCCATGGCGCCCTGTTCCCTCCCTCATCCCCCGAAATAAACCCACACACACACATTTCTCTGCCCCCCCGCTCACCGATACATACCGTCCTGTCTGGATTTCTAATGATTACCCCTACGGGTAAATGACACTCGATCATCGGCCGCCCGCGCTGATCATGAACCTTACGTTGCAGTCAGGGTCTGATCTGAACATCCGCGTCAAACCCGTTGTCATCGCTGTGGTCCCTGAGACGTCTCAGACTCTCAGTTGGCAGTCGATCTCCATCGCCACAGGGCCGATTAGTGATGGGCTATACTAGTGATGATGGCATTAGCACTCAGAACGTGTATTGTACTCCGAGATGAATAAAACACAAAGGGATTCGTACCCAGAAGAGACTCTCAATATGCAGTAGATTGCAGATCTCCCCTGACTAGTTCAAACACATCCCCGACCCTCAAAGCCAAAAGTAATAATGCAAAGAGAAATCTTATCCATAGTTGACCTCTCCCATGGTCCTGATGATCCCAGTCAACTTCTACATTCGCTCCGGAACGTGCGACCAAGGCTCTCTCAGATGAGAATTCCCTCCCGATGATCACCGGGTCGATGATGAGCCCACGAACATGGCCCAGCGCGCGGGCAGGCCTCGCGGGGGTTGTCCGATGCCCTTGCCCTGCAATGTGACCTCTGATCGTCAGCTCGAAAGTATGTACATACCTCGATTGCCTGGCGCTAGGCGTAATCTCTTGTCATCTCCCTGGGACAGGTGCGTTGGTGCCGCTCACTCCCAGATGGAGAAGAATAGCCATGCAATGTAGACTTTGCTCCATGCAAATATGACACCTCACATCTGCTGGAGAGCGCGCGCTCAATCAGAAGATGCGGGCTTCGTATACATAGTATCAATATGTATACCCCAGCCTCGTACAAGGTCCGCCGAGTGGTCCAGTACAAACCCATGACCTTTGCCCAAAAGCGTCTCGCTTGCTTCCACCAAAGAAGCAAAGTCCGGGCATAGAAGACGCGATGCGATGGCAACTCCCACTTGACATTTCAAAGGAAAAAGCAAAAGAATACACTTCGAAAAGAATATTGAAAGTATGCACTGCGGGCTTTTCTGGAAAGGTGTCGTAACATCTGGAGAATCGCCTTGCACTGATCACAGCCAGGGGGGTCGCATATCGTTGGGTTTGGCTGTCCATACTCATTCCGGTGAACGGATTAAAAGGGCAGATAGACAGTAGGGGTTGTGCCAGTGGAACAAGGATACGTGCCTCCCCGAGTCTTCCTTCACACCCCAGTAACCGTTGGCTTCTAGACCGATGACCGTTGAGTACTTCCTCCGGTGCCACATCCAAAATAGTTATTGACGCACTGCTTCCCCGTCACCACCCCCGGTCTGTCACGTTCTGCTCGTACGCCCCCTTCCTCCTGTTGTCGATCTTCCCAATAATCGCCAAATGAACATTGACGCAGCATCCTGGGTACGACTTACAGGCCTAGGCAGCGCTCAGCTCGGGACAACGCGACAGCGGCACCAGGGACGTGCATCCCCATCAGATTTCCCAGTGACCAGTTGCCCGAGCTGGTGGCGGCTAAAGCTGGCGCATCCTTCTCATTTAGAAAGCCTTCCAGGAGCAGTTAGGCTTAATGAGATGGCGGCGTAAATCCATCCCGCAGAGAGTGACTTGATGGCTCGCCTCCTCCCATGCCCTGGGTGCACTCACATTCACAGTAGAAGCGAACCTAGATGACGCATTCGCTTTTGAACAATGGCAGCGTCACATCCTAGGCCATGGAAAACGGGGGCCAGCGTGTGTAAGTAAGCTGGTGCTTACCGTAGCTGGTGCGAATATGGTTAGCTAGGAACTTTTGGGGCTTGGTATTGTATCTTGCTCTGGTCTCTGTCAACAAGTATGCCCGTTGTAAAATATTGATATTACCGAGGCAAGATCCAATTAATCCATCATAGAAATTTTCGGGAAAGCCAAGAAGTTGCGCCTTCTTGGGCTGATCGAGCTATCCACGGGCAATCTGGTGAAGGGGCCATCCCTGCGCTTGGATGGAGAAAGCAAAGAGGTGGCCTGATCCTCATGTGGACGACCAGATCTATCGATTCGACACCTGTGACCGAAACAGTGTCTCCCTGATAGCATCAACGTACAATAGGCAGGGATAAGGGATGTTCAAGCGTCGGCCTTGAGAGATCGAATATGACGCATGCAAGAACTGTCAAGAACTGTAGGTCGCCGTTTTTGGCCATCACCACCAGGGTGGTCCTTGCATGCTGCCCACGGAGGATGGTGGGTGTTGTCCGCTCCATCTACTCCGGTGAGTCCAGCTGTGGGCATTACAACATGGCCAAAGCAGGTATTGTTACGCCTCAGTAGAAGCGGCTATGAATCTAGATCGCAATTCCCCGGGTTGCCATACCATAGGAGGCCAGGGGTTGCTTTCGGGTTCCTTGGCAAGCTTTGAGAAGAGAGAGCATACGACACATTGGAAGATGCCTACTGCGCACGCAAGACGCCAATCATCAGTGAAGTTCCACAGAGCATGCATGACGTGGAGGAGGAGGATTATACAAACGTGTGGCTATGGCGCAACTGGAAATTTGTGGAATCTGCCAATTTCTAGAAAAGCCAGAATATGACAATGGGTTGTTTCTGCCTGCAATATTACAGTCTTGTATCCTTAGCTGTTCCTGAGATCGCACAAGAATCGTATCCCCAGAACAGACATGGACATGGTCTCCAGGAGGGGTGACAGCGGTCTCCTTGCCAGCAGGAGGTAAGAATCTAGCACAACCGCAATGGGCACGGTAACATGGGCCGTGTATTGCACTATAAAATAATGCTTAAGATTGAGTTGGGGCTCAAGGAGAATGCCGAGTGTCAGATAGGTATCCGTGCTATGTCGGCGATTCATGCCTTTGAAGATAAGGGGGGCAGCATGACTATGTGGCGCGACATAGCATTCAGTCTATAACAAATAGCTTAATCAGAAGCTATGTCACCGGAGCTCAAGCCTCCGCGATTCAGCACATCGTCTTCGAAAGCTAAACAATGGCGGCGCTCCCTAGCTGGTGACGTTGAGAAGGAAGGAGGCTTGCTCGCTGATGATGTTTGTTCGTAGTCAAAGGCTCGGGCCATAGAACTGTGATGGTTAGTAAGATTGAGGACGGTAGTGGACAGACGGTTTGTGCCCAGTCACCCACCCCTCTAGCCTGGCTCAAGCCCAGGATCAAAACGACACTTACCCAGACTGGCAATCATCTCGTGGTAGTGGGGGAACACAACAGCAAGCCACAAGTCTGTTCGGTATTAAGGACGGGGATTACTAACTAAGCTCAGCCGGGGCTTGTCTGGCGCCAAAGGAGAGCAAACCCCCCGTCCCCAGGAAGGGTGAGCGCTCAGGGTCCTGGCCTCAGAATCTGGCCTGGTTTTGGATCCTTGGATCTCCCCTCCAGCGGCACCCGCAGACGAGGGTAATTATTTCGCGCGGGCGCATGCACTCAGCCAAGAGTTTGCCATGCACACACAGGGAAGATGCAGCTGAGGTAGCGGGTCGCCCAGCTCAGAACTGGCAAGTCTATCAGGCCCAGCCAAGCCCTGGATGGAAGTGTGGCATGATGCGATGGGGGCAAGGCGGATGGAGGGAGGGTGGCTGCAGAGAATTTCGGCGCTTCCACTGGCTGGAATACGCACTCCTGATCATCCACATCTCGCGTGGTCCAATCCGTGGGGCGAGATGGGGCCAACCCTGGGCAGATCGTCGCGGCCATTGGAGATCACAGGAGGCAGTCCCGCTGCCTTTTCCGCGCTGCTGGAATTTTCCTTTCCCGTCCAAAAGCTAGATCGTGTGGCTGGTCAGCTCAAGCCCCCGGCAATGGGACACGTACGTACTCAGTGGCCGGCCGCCTCTAATCACATCGCATACCGAGACAAGAGGGCGGGCAGTCAGCCGTTTCTCAATCTAATTTCCTGCTGCTGCTGTACTGTAGGTATGACAGCTGCAAATGCAAGATGCAGCAGGATTCATACTCAATAAGGACACCTACCTGGGCCAGAGCCAATCTAACTTCCGCGATTGGACAATCTGAGGAGGGGACACAACGCATGTAACCCAATGTTATGCAGCTCACCCGCCACCCCTTGTGCTTGATTCGATTCCGTCGTACCAACCAGCCTACGTCGTGGCGCTTTATTAATTCGGCCACACACAGCAAGTCCGTAGAGAACCTTCTCGGACTGTCGCCGGGTGCTGAGTTTGATGATGGATTTTTTTGGGGGGTCTGTGTTTCCCATCGACCTCTTTCCTTCTCATCCGGGGAGGGGTGTTTCTTACCTTGTCGCTTTGTGGGCATAATACGGTGTCTTAGCTCGGTGAGCCTGGCCAAACCAATCCCCAATTTAGTATGTCTCCGAATCTGAGATGACTCGGGGTCACACCGTACAAGGTGGCTTTTGCTCCGGCACATCCCTCGCTTCAGATTGGCTATGACGTTCATGCCAATCTTCAAATTCCACCCTAGC